GTGGCTCCTGGACCCGCTGCGCCCAGCCTCCTCGCTGGCGCGCCGCCGCCGCCACGCAGCCCTCCGGCCTGGCCTGCCGGGGTTGCTCTGCCACAGCTCCGCGGCTGCCCCCAAACGCCTCAGACCGGGATACCGGGAAGTGAACCTCGGGGACCCGACTCCCCGAAATACCTGCATTTGCATTTCTTATGTAATGTACTGCAAGTTTCCCGGTTGGAGCCTTTGGGAATGGGGGCGCATGATCACCAGGAGGCTGAAGCACGGACCCAGGGCCAGGCTCATCCCACCCGTGGGACCCAGCCGCCGCGCTAGGACACTGCTTTTTGAAAGGAAGGTTTAAATTACATATATTAGAGAGACCGGGCTCGTCTTCTCGGTCTGGGGTTCCCTCCCGGCATGAGCCCTGCTCAAGTATTCCCAGTGGCAGGAGGTGTCGGAGGCAGACGGGGGAAGGAGTTACTCCGGCACCGAGAGCTAGACGGGGGCGGGAGGCGGGGGCTGACGGAGGAGCGGGGCCGCGAGGGAGGGGGCCTCTTTTACTTTGGTAAAGGTGGCAAATATTGTGCAAGCTAATCAAAAAGTCTAGAGCGGGTTCCCGGCACCGAGCCGCGTCCCCGAACCTGCAGCAGAAGTCAGGAGAGCTCGCGGTTCTTTCTCCTGGCAACTACCGAAGCTTCAGCTGCCTCGGGCCAAACCTTAAGCCATAGTCCTTCAATATTCCACCAAACATCGGCAAACAAACACATTTTAAAAAAAGAAAGAAAGAAAGAAAAAGTTTCCTCCTCCCTCCTAGTGATGGATTGTGTCACAGCCAAAAGCTGCCGATAATGATTTTCGGGCTCACGGACACGGATCCAGCTGTTACTTGTTTATCCATGCAACACCTCCATACACAACACCGTCCTGGGCCTTTTCTGCTTCCCCTGCCTTCCTGCATAGCAGAACTGCAGATCTAGCTCAATGAGCAACAGACAGGTTATTATGAGGAAAAACATAACATGATGCATGTTTCGCTTACCAGTTGGGTTCTTGTTTTTCTTAAGACTCTTGCCACAAAGACACTGCAGCATATGCGTTCCTTTGCTGAAAATGTTCCAAAGAAACCACATTGATTTGGGCGAAAAGCAATCCAGCAGCTTAGACACCCTGAGAAAAAAGAGATCCTTGTGGTTGCATAATAATAATTTGAAATCAGTTCTCCTGAAGAGGGGCACCGGTTTTACCATAGGAAAAACGATAATATTCCGGATCTTCTCCCAGTGTTTTCCCCTCACGTGGTATATTTCTTTGAGACTTCTCAGTGATTGTTTTTTTTCGGCCAGGGTGAATGATTTATCCCCTCGATCACCACTGGATTATTACCAAATGGTTGGCAAAAAAATCCTTTTCCAGCATGAAGCCAAACAAAAAGGCAAAGAAATCCCAACTGAGACCAGAACTAATCAGGGAGAGCAGTAATGCACAAAAGATCCCCAGAGAGAAAATCATAGCCTTTTACTTGCTGGCTATGAGGATGGGTGGGTCTGCAGAAGGCAAAGCAGGATTCATCTCACTGAGAGAGGACTGCCATTGTGTAGTCCCTAGGAGAGAAGGAGAAAAAAAAAAGGGAAAAGAAAGAAAGAAAAAAAGAAAAAAAAGAAAAGAAAAGAAAAATCCACCAGCACACACACTCACACACCAATGCCACCTCCGAGTCTGACAGCCGAAGACAGAGCCTCCCTTCTCCCAGTGTCGATTTAAAAAAAAAAAAAATCAATCGCCAGTGCTCAGTGGGATCGGATTGAACCTGCAGTTCTCAATCACCACGAAGAAAAGATGCAAATTTAGGTGCCCCCTCCCCTGGTCAGGCCGGTAGTAGGTAGAGAGCGCCACAGATCCCCTGCCTCCTTCCTCTCACTCTCCCAGTTTCCAACAACGGTGAGCATGAGGAAAATCTCCCCTCCGGATTCCTCGCCCAGCCTCGGATGTGAGTTACAGGCATTAGAGGGAGGAGGAGGAGGAGTTGAAGTTTGCATTGAAAAGACTGGCTTTCCATGACGTAGCCACGTGCTTTCAGACCCGTCACCAGTGAGATGCTTCAACCCGCCCGGGGAGGGCAGTGTCACTGCAGTCTCTCCGCTAGTTCCCCTCTCGAAGTCGCCCAACCGCCTGCACCCAGCCCCAGCCCCAACATGCGACCCTCTCCCTCCTCTGCCCATCTTGAATAGGCCTGCTACTTGCTCTTGGAGCCAGCTAACGGAGCCTTCTCCTAAAAGTGAATTGTGAAAAGGAAAATTAGCTGTAATTAGTAAACCTCAGGAAATACATGGGGGTGGGGGGAAGGCAGGGCTTAAATAGAACGGTTTAGTACCACTCCTCAGCCAAAATTAGCTCCGCCTTACATTTTCAAAAGCAGCATCTAAAGCATCTAAAATATTAAGGAAAACTCAAGTTCCTGTAGTTCCTATTATTTGACTCCTACTTAAAGGCTGTTTGAAAAATATAAACTAGGCATGTGACAAATATGTACTTACAGAAACTGCCTGTGAAAAAGGTAACCACTAAAATCAGGGTGACAAACTGTCTTTTGCTCAGGAGGGTCATATGTAAATAACAAAATGTATGCCTTTTCTAGGCAGACAACCCATTATCTTCAAATTTTTTTTGGTACTGAAAGCTCTCTGCTTGAATCACACCTTATTTCATTGCTTGTTTCTGCACCCATTAATTGAACTAGCATTAAATTCACCCTCGTTCACTAATCTACACTAATATACTACCTTGTCACCTGCCACCACGCTCTAACCTAACAAAATGAGCAGATTTTCTCTCTCATCAAGATATAATCCAGCTTTCAAATTTCCCAGAAAATCAAAAGATTTAGGACAGAGCTTTTGATTTCTTTTATCTTATTTAGGAAAAAAATACCAGGTCCAGAATAGTACAAACTATTACAAACAATAATATAACAAACTCCAGTGTACACACTAGTCAAAATTAATAAATGTTAGTGTTTCATATTTGTGAGCTGAGCATTTTAGAAAGTTAAAATTGACCACTCTCACTGTTGTTAGGCAAATGAATTAAAGTTATGCCAGCTTATTTCCACTTTTATAGGAAAAGTGACATAAAACTTTAAATTTTAGAAAATATATTTAGAAGCTCTGTCTTAATTTCAAAAATTTAAAACTACGCCTCCACTGCATGGGCTATCAAACTATCTTCTAAACAAATAGATGTAGATTTCTGTTGAGGATTGATAGAAGAAACTGATTTTAAAGAAAATTAACTCCTTGATTATCAGTCATCAAAAATGAAAATGTAATAGACAATTTTCTCTCTGCTAGTGTTTTCTAATATTTAGGGGGATTTTTGAAATGCCAAAATTTGTATCCAATATCCTGAACCCTTTTGGGAAATGTTAGTTGATTTTAGGCAAGATAAGAAAGGAATTTCAAACAAGTGAATTTTTTTGAAGTTAAGAAAATTGAAAGTTAAGTAGAGGTGTCCTCGATGTGCCTAAGGAACCAATCACATGATACAGCTTAAAGAGATTACTAAGATTAATAGCAGTCTAAATAAAGTTTGGGAAACAAGGAAAGAGAAAATTCTAAGTCCATGAATTTCACGCCAAATGACTCAGAATCAGGCTGGAAAAAAATTGAAGAACAGAATTATTTTTTGAAAGAGGGAATATGGAATAGCATTGCCAAATAATTAGGGAAGAATTTGTGATCTCAATTAATCGGGAACACATACTACATGCTGCTTCTATGAAATTCTGGTGTCCTGTCAAGGGTTCCAGAATATCCTGATATATTACCACTGGACACATTCCAGAGGAACAGTTGTGTAAAAAAATATTCTCCATCAAGGTCTTCTGAACTCACACTGCTCTTAGATTCTGTAAAAGCTTGCTGAGTTCCCTGGGGTATTTCACAAGTAGAGTAAAATTTGGGGAGATATTCTGGAATTACTGGCTCTTTTCGTACGCTGAGTGTGTGTAGAGAGAGTATTTCTCAAACCAGCTCCTCTTGCATTTCCAAATTAGACTTCTCTACATTGTGAAAGTGAATTTAATCCCTATTAAAGTAAAGAATGACTGCCAGAAGCCTACGGTTTGTTTTGTTATGTATTGGTGGAAAACTTACTACTTCTTGGTCCTGTGACCTTAGGAACAACATAAAAGGTAGTTAACTGTGACTGCTATTTATTGCAAATCTATTATACCAGGCACTATGTTAGTCACTTCTTTTCTTTTATGCGATTAAAAGAACGGATAAATCTTTTGTCATAATGAATGAAATTTCTACAGTTTTTTCTATATTTATCAATACATTATTTGCATTATGTAGGCTATTGGTCATATTATTAAACAAACAAACAAAAACCAAATACTTTTATCTGAAAAAGATGACCCAACACTGATTCAGGTCACCTTTGGTCCAAGGGACTTGCAATTTCTAATGAGCTCTAAGGGACTCAATTTAATTTTTCAACCGATTATTTATTCAGCACTTACCCTGTGAAACTAACTGTACAAGACAACATGTTGTGTGCTAATTCATAAAATTAAACCAGATTTCCAGTTACACGATAAAGAAGACCGAGGGTGGTCTGCCTAGTTTAGGGAGGATGCAAAGATACATACACTGATCTGAGTTCAGACCCTTATTTAAATTTTGTTTTGGAAGACATCAAAATCTTTACTTACCCTTTGCCATGCTACATTTAAGTCAATATTAGATGACAAAAAAGGAAATTATTAGAAAGTAAATGCAAGCTTTAGAATGAAAGAAAAAGAAAACCTCATGGTAACTGTAAGACAGTAAAATCTGTAGTATATATCTTCAGAAAAAAATCTGAAGATGATGTTGTTATGAGTAAAATAAACCCAATACTCATAATCAAGCTCATTTAGAAATTAAATTTACCTTCAGCATATTATAGTAAGCAAATCTAAAAGTGTAAAGACCAGAACACAAAAATATACATTTTCTTTTAATATAGGACATACAAAACCTTCATGAGATTAGTCATCAAAAATCTCTGTGACTATCTTAACATGATTTTTCTAATTTTGTTCCCAGGTTACTCTTCTATTTCATTCTTTCTTTTAGCAATAAGGCCCACCCCAACACACTTTTGAAAGGTCACAAGGGTATCCAGATAGAGAATATAATATATAATAACTACGGTCATGTGACTAGACTCTGACCAAAGAAATGTGAGCAGAAGTGCTGTGTTCAACTTCCTGGTCACATTCTTCAAGGGAAGCTGCTTGTCCTCCATTTCTCTCTTTTCTCCTTCCTGTGAGCTGAAAGTAATTGCATGAGCAGTTTTGACAGCATGGATAGGAATGCACTCCAGGAATGGAGTGCCAAGATAAAGGCAACCTATGACCTTGGACAGAGCAGCCAACCCATCCCCAGCTACCCACCTGCCTCTGTACTGTTGGATAACAGAAAAGGAATTTTTATTTTGTTTGATTTACTGTATTTTTGTGTGAATTTGTTACAGCAGCTTATCCTCTCTACTATCTTATAGAATGGTCTGGTGTTAATAACAACACACTTATATATTTGGGTCATTTACTTATGTTAAAAGGGTAAAGAACATACATACATCACATATAACCTATGGATTTTATTTGAGGTCTGCCGCTCTCCTTTCCAAGCACTGTAGCAGCTACTTATCTCTTTGCTACCTCTTACAAGCCACTCTTGCTCACCCTCACCACCATGGCAAACATCTTATTGTCAGATCTTTGTCTCCTCTGCCCTGCCTCTGCCCATCAGGTGTAACCAATGACAGTATGGCGCTTATGACCATGGCCATAAAGGAAAAGAAAGTTAGAGGATAAAGTGATTAGAAGAAAGAGTTGGTCAAAAAGAGAAAAAGAAGCCCAATGTATATGCAAAGATCTCAGTGTCTGTATTGACCTTGAAAATGTTTTTCGAAAAGATGGTGCCTTTTGTGGTTTGCACATGGATTCTTTCTCTGTTGTTGGTGTTAACAATTATTACCACTTTTTAGGAAATAATTCTCAATGTGACATCACTGAACTACTCAGTAGTTCCACTTTCCTCCTCTCCCTGTGTTCCTCCATTGGCTCATGGCATAGAAAACCTCTGCTCCTCCCTCCTGTAGGGAATGGTCTGGAAAGGTAACTCCAGTCCTTCTCCCTGCCACCTCTCAATTTCTCAGTGGTGATGAAATGACTTAAGTGGCCCAGACTTCTCTGTCTCTGGATCTGCCTGCCTGCAAAACGTTTTCAGAGTCCTCTACTTCAGCTTCTCTCTGCAGGAAACATTAGGTCAACTTCGAAGCCCACAGCCTGTCTCCTGGGAGCAGGTCTGGAGACTAATCTGTCTCAACTCTATTTGGAGGCTTGTAACAGACATCCTCAGTGCCCC